CGGGCGACATATTGCGTGCAACCTAGGGAGCATCGTTAAAATTCACCAACTGCTGTTTTTCGTTAAATCATAGCTTTTCGAAATCAAGGAAAGAGTCCTGATAAAATTGTGAAAATTTTTAATAATAATAAGCCCAACCAATACTCTCCACCCACCAATCAACATGAGCGGCGACATCCGCATGATGTACGGAATATGCCGAGTCATGATTGGGAAGCGTTTGTAAAGCGTCGAGATTTAAAACTGTTAACGTGCAGGAAAAACATTTACTCAACAGCTGAAAAGTAAGTATGAGAGATCGAAGGTGCGGGAATAAAAATCAATCGGCGAAAGGGTTCATTCAATTCATTGTTTGTTTTAAGTTTCTATAATAGTATAGGCCTAAACAGCCTCCTCTTTCTCCACTTTTTATTCATCCGCTGCAGCAGCAACATTATTGGAGTGCGTACTTTGTTGTCAGCATTTATACGTATATATTTTTTATACATAATTAAACAAATCTTGTATGAAGAGTTTAATCTTTAAAAGACCCCGTTTTGTTTAATTAGAGAAAGTGTGGAGAATTCTGAGATCTTCCTGAAGAAGCGGCCTCCGAACCGAAACATCCAGCCTTATTAAAACGGTTCCAAACGCTTTTCGTGCAATCGTTAGCTCTTTGTCAATCAAAGCAGTGCTTACATGACGGTCGGACTCGACAATGTGCTGGATTTTATCGATGTTTTCGACAATTAGCCTCTCACTCCGTGAAGCATCTTTTACATTAAAATTGCGGGAACGAAACATGAATGGCTCTTACAGTATCAGCATTTTTACCCTTTCCGAAGAAAACCTATCAAATATAAAGTATTTTCTCTTTGCTAGTGCCCATCTTTGAGATCTTTGATGCAACAACAAACTCAAAAAAGCTAAATCAACTAATCACAAAACTGTCAGAAAAGGTTTCTTTGGTACGGAATGGCAACTTTCTTACGCCATCTATCGGAACCCGATCGGGCTTATAAAATATCTACATTTTAGATCTTATATATGCATGTATGTATAGGTTTTAACTTGGCAAATAATTTTGAGTATTATACTAGTATATGTATATATGTATGTATATTTCATTTGCATATATTATAACACTATTTATAATGAATATATTCTTTTGTTTTTCATTTGATATCTTTTTATTTCCAACCCTTCCTTTAATTTTTCTTTGTAACAAAGCTTATCAATTTCTCTTCAACCGAATCTATATTATTCTCCAACTTTTTATGTTTCCGCTCAACAATTCGAAATGCGAAATGAAGTAAAAAGAGACAATGCCGACATAAATTTTATTCATAAAAAAATTGGTAAGTCAAATTACTCATACTTACGTAAGTCAAATAAATAAACTGTGCATTTACACCCTTTAGAAGACGATGATATGAAAGAAGAAATGGAGATAACATTTTGAACCAGTTGTTTTAGGACGTTTTAGTGACTACAATGAACAGACGTGGAAAAAACCTTGTCGTGCCTAATTCCTCCATATGGGCAGTGGACATAATGACACAATTCGATGATTGTCGTATTATTGGTATTGGTGACGGTGCACTATACAAAAAATTGCAGATTGCATTGGATAAGTCGAGGGCACTAAATTTAAATTAATTAATAAATTCGTCTTCAGGTTTCTCACGTTAACACATTTATTCTATAAAGCAGAAAAAGCGTTTGATTATAAGCTTCAAATACGTCATGAAAGTATTGGAAGCCCAGGAAGTGTTCATGATGCGGGTATATTTTTTAATTGTGATCTAGCCATAAATCTAAGAGAGTACTTTTCTGGCAATCAGTACCTAGCTTCAGACTCAGCATATTCATTATCAAGTACAATCATATCACCATACAGAAGCAACTCATATGCAATGAAACGTAGGCAGCTCAATTTTGACATAGTCAATTCCGCGTTAGGGTTGAACATTACATAGGAAGCCTGAAGGAACTACGTCAGCGCCAAATAATAAGAAGAGTTTTGTATACAATGGATTCTAGTTTCGGCAATCATTCATAACATCTCACTACTTGATGCAAATCAACCAGAATTCCAATATGGACTTTTGAAAAATATTGGCGAAAATGCTGAAGGAGCTACAAATTTAAAAGATATTGATTTTGAGCTCAAACGGCAAGCTCTATACAGGACAACGTTCGAATAAATAATAACCTTAAAATTTTTAATAATAATTTAATGACAGTAAATCCACCTCATAAATGTTACCTAAAGTATTTATTCGTTGTTAACTGTTTTTATATTTCGACTACAATTCGTATCTGGCCAGTCTTTCCCCTTTTCCAAGACCTAGTTTATTTTACCGCTCCTTACTTGCCTATTCCATTTCTAATTGCTTAAATTCAAGTTAATTTTCTTTTAACTGCATTTCGGCGTAAAAATTTTCTCTTTGGAAATTGAGCTCCCTTGAAAATGTGGGATGTGCTGTTTTTGTATTCGTACAACCGCGTTGGGCCTTGCTACTTGATGCTTTCAATTTTTTGGGAAAACTTTCCCTTTTTTCTTTTTATGAGTGCGCTGAGAGATTTGAGAAAAAGCTTCATTTCAGCTTCAAATACCATTTATTTCTCCAATGTTTCTTCTTTTAAGGTGTCAACTAACGCGATTGGTACCGAATCGTTTGCAGTGTTATAAACATCCAAACTTCCACATTCAGTTCTTGGAGTAAAAATTGCGTTTATTCTGTCATAAAATGGAGTATCGAGTTTCTCTGAAAATAATGAATTGATTGAATTTAATTGATATATATATATATACATAAATAAATATATGCAATATAATCATTTGAACAACTTTTGTGACATAAGCTTGATCGCTGCGCGATTTCAAGCGTTATGATAATGTACCTGTAAATACAATATAATATTGAATATTCAGGCTACATTTGATAAATTTAACTATTATTATTATCGAACGAGTATCGAGCTGCTCCTTGGCAGAGGAGGTCTAAAGGTCGGTGGCGATCTACTACAGGGTGTCTCATTGACTGGCGGTTGCAGGTCCCTTTCGTCTGATTCGTTTATGAGCACTTCTTCATCGCTACTCTCTAGTGATCTGACGGTATACGGGTTGTATCGAGATCGTGTAAACTTGTATTCGTCCTGCTCCAGCGAAACGTCTTGTTGCCTGGAAGAACTGCAGTTTTTTTGCCATATGATGCGGAGATGGGCGATTTGGACAGTGCCGGTAGTCTCTCGACGGGCTCCATGCTTCGTAGTTCGCGGCAAAGCACTAGGCGGTGATTATGGCGACAGACAGGGCAGCTATGGCCAGTCTTGCTTACGAGGGTGCTTTTCTCACTCTGTGCACGGACAATTCTTGGTATTTAGCGAAGTAATTCTGAAAATAGAGATACGAACGTTAATTATGCTTCAGGTATTAGTTGTTAGACTGATTTCCCGTCTGGCATCGTGAGTTTTCCTTTCGCTGTACTGATCTCCATTACTTTAACTCGATTGTCGAGACCTGAAAGGACTTTGTCAAGTCCCTCCTCATTCGTGGGGAGCTTATCGTTTTTGATAACGACAAACTCATCCACTTCCATATTTCATTAGGGCCATTGCTACTTCACTCGTTTCTTTAATTCCTCAAGGTATTCCGCTTTCCAGCGGTTGACAATCGATATCGGGTTGTCGGTTGTCTCCGCCATCGTTAGTAGAGGGCTTCTGACAAAAAAGTGTCCAGGGATGAGTGAATCCGTTGTGTGGGGGCGTCTGAGAGCGGGCCTAATGGCCTTAAGTTTAGACACGCTTCGATTCCAGCTAGTAGCGTCGAAAACCCCTCCATTGTAAAGCGCATTCTGACACCTTCCTGAAACGCGTTTTGAAACTTACGCTTTCTCCGGCATCCTATAATCGTCCTATATTTGGCGCCCCGGGAAGTATAAAGTACCAGCTCAACTCTTGATGGGCAAAGGATTGAAAGGTCAGTTGTGATGCCGCTTTGATAAAGTTTTCAAAGCCCTGCTTCATGGTTTTGTTAGCACCTAAGGAGTTCGTGCCATTATAGGAATGTAAGTTGCGTTGGCATGCGCGTCGAGTAACGAATCGATTGAGAGCGGCTATGAAGGTGGAGGTAGACAAATCGCTGGTGGGTTCTAAGTGGATATCTTTTGTTGCAAAGCATACGACGACGAAGGCGTAATTTTTGGTAATAAGGCAGGCTTGTCCGGTGGAGTTTCGGATGTCAGACGGCCCGGTAAAACCGATGCCTGTGTTGGCGTATGGCCTTTTCAGCTCAGTCTGTTCTAGACTACCATTATTTGTTTTCGCGGTTTTTTTTTGGAAATGGCACAGACTTTACAATATAACAACTAACAATATTTTTTACAAGATTTTTCATCCGTACGATCCTAAATTCTGATCTCAGGAATCTTATCATTAATTGATCTCCTCCTTAGCGAAATCAATTGCGAAAACCTTACGAGTAATCTAAAGAATTGCCAATTGTAGGGTAGAATAACTGGAAAACGCTCATCGTACGACAAGTTTGCAAATACAAGTCTTCCACCGACTAGCATTACTCCATTTCTATGGAGAAATGGGTTGACAGTTTTAATTGAGCTCTTTGCACTGATATGCTTTGACGCATAGACTCGTTTTTGTGCGACCAGAATCAATGGAAAGGCTCTTCTGAGATGATTTTCTTCCAGTAATTGGCGCTGTCTTGAGTGACTCCGCTTGTTAAACCTGAAAACTATGGCGACTATCCGAGACGCTCGGGAAGGTTCCGATAATCGCTTCAGAATGTCTTTTTGTTTGTTTACTTTTGTCGTATGGACTCTGGTACCTTAATGCTTAATGTTCGGTGTTCAAATGCAGCTCCTTTGCGTGAAACGACCATTCGTTTTGTGGTTTTGCTAACCAGATTGGTCTATGCTACCATAGACTTTTTCAGAATAACTCTTGAGGTGACACTCCTCGGCTAGGACCTNCATTAAGTTTCTGTTGTCTATGTAAATCTTTTCTAGTGAATATCAGCCGCTTTATATAGAATAATGTAATAATTACCTTCCTTACAATTTAGATTTAAAATTACTTTATTTTCAAAATAGGACCTATGTGTATATGTCTTTTAGTATAAGTTTCTGTTTTCCTTAAACATTTTGCGAGTATTCATTATGGTAATTATTTTAACCTTTAATATGATGTCTGCTTCTCACTCAACTTGGCATTTCCCCTCTTTATATCTTTTTGTCATACGAACAGTCGCATTGGAAACATCACTCCTCTTTCAAAGTTTATTAGTTCCATATTTCGTTTTGTCACGGTTTTAACTGCAAACAGAAAAAAAATATATGATTGCAAATTTATTCATTTTATTAATTGTTACGCGATACGGTATGTGGAATAAGAAAAATATCTGGAAGCTTCCAGAAAGTTGTAGGAGTAAAACTGACGAGTCAAATACACCCAAAGTTATTTACAAAGTTATTTAACTACTACCTACCTACCACATGCTTAATTTTTTATTACGTTTTATACAGCAGAAATTACTGTCTTCTTGCTTCACATACGCATGTCAAGGCGTAATTGTAGAAGGTGAAGTTGTCCTATCATATGATTTATCGTTCTTCCTTGCATATTGCCAGCCTGCTGAGTGGCATTGAAAATAAAAGAACCGGAGAAGGTGCACCCGAAATTCCAATTGATGGCGATGGAAAAGTTGGCTTTGAATTAGTCCGTAAGTAATCGTCAGCTTAAAAAACAACAAAGCGTCGGGGACCGATGAATTACCGGCAGAGCTATTCAAATATGTCGGTGAAGAACTGATCAGATCCATCAGTTTCTTTTCACAATATGGTCGGATGAAAGCATGCCCGACGATTGAATTTTAAGTGTTCTCTGCCCAATCCACAAACAAAGGCGATCACACAGTCTGCGCCAATTACCGTGGAAAAAACCTCCTTAATATAGCATATAAGGTACAATCAAGCATATTGTGTGAAAGACTAAAGCCCACCGTCAACAAACTGATTGGTCCATATCAGTGCGTCTTTAGACGTGGTAAGTTAACCACTGACCAGATATTAACCATGCGTTAAATCTGGGAAGATACCCGTGAAAACAGGATCGACATACACCACTTCTTTGTTGATTTTTCAACAGCCTTCAACAGCACGAATAGGAGCTGCTTCTACACAGCTTTGTCTGAATTTGTAGTTGAGTAGGATCTGGTAATCTGCTTGATACCAAGAAAATGAATATTGCATCCCAGTTCTCGATATCAATTCCGTACATTTGCAAAACGATGATACAATTGTTCACTGCGCGTTGTAATTTTTTTATTTCCGTACCACGCCCATTCATTACGGGCGGTAAATTGAAGAGCGTTTTAAATTGGTTGTTGACCTTTCACTCGTAACGATCGGACAGGACTTGCCACGCGGCAGCAAATCTTTCATTGGTCAGTGGGGATTTTTTAACAATAACTCTTGCCTCCCTACCGGTTTTTTGTATAAGTAGTACAATTTTTCAATGGGCACACACGCGAATTATTAATATAGATGGCGGTAAGTAAATCACCGAAAAATGACCATGCCCTAGTCCCCATAAAAAATGTCGGTGTCACAGAGAGGTAGATTCATAATCGGTCGAGTTGCTGTGCCCATCCATCCATCCAGTACGATAGGATTTACTGTCAGTGAACTTAGCGGAACAAACGTAAGATTGTGGATTGCTTCTCATTAATGCAGCGTACGTCAAGTAAGCTGTCGAAGCTCAAGTCAAATGGTAAATTTCCAAAAAACACGAAAAATTTTTCAAAAAAAATTTTAATTTTCAAGTGTAAGCGGGGTACTTGATGCATCCGAAGTTCACATCAAATTGTAAAATTCTATAAAACACGGAAATATTCTTCAAATTTTTTTAATTTTCATTCAAAAATTAATGCCACGAAAAATTAATAAGTTTTTTATTTCAAGTATATGAGGGCTACTTTATGCTTCCAAAGCTCAAGTCAAATTGTAAATTCTTTCTTCTTTCTTTCTTTGAATATCACAAAAAACAATATTTTTTTAAGTTGCGGGCCTTGTTGCACGTCGGGCCGTTGGTGTGGGCCTTGTTGCACGGTGGGCTTTGTTGTTGGCGATCTAACGCTTTGCTAAATGACACTTACCGAAAGTCGCTCCCATCCCTGTGTCAACTTCACTACACTAGTGGGGCGCTTTACGCTTAAGCTTACCTGGGCACTTCACTTCCCTAGCGCCCTACGATTTGGCACCTTAAGCAATTTATAAAGCCTTAGCTTAAAATAAATATTTCTAAGCAAAATTTATAAAGAAAATTGTGTGAATGAACCGGGAATTCACCGGTTCATGTAGGCTGTCTATCAGTCTGTAATACGGCATATTCACGACAGCCCAATTACATGTTTCGCTGTCTCAATCATAATTCGCACTCTACACACATGTCGAAACATCTAATTCGCCATACAAATTTTCGTAAGCGAATTACAATAAAAGTGGGTAATTCGTTCCGATTGCCATGAGAATTACGAAATTTTATCGAAACCATCTGACAAATCAAAACAACCGAGAAATCATAAAAGAAAACACAAACATTGATTTGAAACCAAAGACAATTTGTATATTAAAGAAAAAAAAAATTAACTTCAAGTTTAAATTTTTAATTTTCCATACATTTTCAAAGGGAACAAACAAGCGAAACCGAAAACTCTCAAACTGCGTGCCGTGGGAATGGGGGTAATACGCATTCGTAACTGAGAGAGCGAAACACGTAATTGGGCTGTCGTGGAAATGCCGTATAACTCTCCCTTAGACTAACTAATCTCAACTTCGCGACATCTACATGCAGTTTCTTTGAAATACTTACGATTCGCATTTAAAATATTTCATATTGGGATAGCGTCACAGCTTAATTCTTTTACCGAAAACTATTATTTTCACATCTGGAAGAAATTTAAAATAAATTAAAATAAAAAAAAATTAAGTTCAATAAAACTAAGCAAACATGCTTTTAAAAAATTTTAAGCTAAAAAGCTGAAAATAATTTTGGAAATAAACTTAAGACAATAGTATATAAAAAACTACTTGTATAATTGAGATAAAAGCGTGAGGCACTCGATATATGAAAACTTTGGCACAAAGCACCCCTCGCTTTTCTCTCAATTACACAGGTGTTTTTTATCTGCTATTGTCTTAAATTTATTTCCAAAATTATTTTCAACTTTTTAGTCTAATATTCTTTAAAAGCATGTTTTTTTAGTTTTTCACTATATTTATTACTAAATACTGCTTCCGTAAAGTTCAATAAACTGCTCTATAGAGGGTAGACGTTGAGTTATGTCACTGGTTAGTTTTACTATTTTTTTTACAAAACGAACACACTTATTATCTGTATATGAATCTATTATTTCGCTTTTTTAATTTGGTACCGTGAATCACTCCACTTACATGTCAGGCTCATGATTCCTTTATCATCTTCGTATCTCTAAGTGGACCGAAGTATTAATCTATCTCTTATTGTAAATACTAGCCAAGCAGTTACTGTAAATTTTATGTTATAAATTAAATTATAATAATGCCAGATTATATATATAATTGGCGCTTTGTGAACGCTGAAACACAGGGATTTGAGCTCGAGACTATATAATATAAATTTTTAGCTGTTGCTATGTATTCTCTTGAGGTGATTTATAATGCAATTGATGGGTAGTAGAGAATGTAATCAGCCGGAAAGTATAGCGTTACAAAATGAAGTCATCCTCGGCAGAGAATGAAAGTAGCATTTTCTCAACATCCTGCAGCCGTTTGGTGGCTTGAAAATGTAGATCCTTCTCTTGTAGAAAAAACATAAAAACGCAGGTCTTAAATGTGAAAATATTTTAAAATACAAATTACATTATACATTATCTAATCTATAAAATTCTCATGTCACTCTGTTAGACACGATACTTCTCCGAAACGGCATGACCAATTTTAAAGAAATTTATAGTGTATATTCCATCCAACCAATTTTTTACACTGGGAAGAGGACTTCGAAAAATTTGAGTTTATACTTCGATTTACTTAGGTAGCCGATCTATTTGAAAAAATCGTTTCTATGGTTTGGATTAATGTATAAAAATTTTCGGAAGTGTAGATATTTCATTGGCTTCGTCCATTCCCTAAATCGATAGATGGCATCATTCGTTGACTTTAGCAGAAGCTTTGTTGGAAGGCCCGTCCGTGCGTATACGGGACTCGTTTCCCTGCATTTACGTGCATGTAAGCGTGAGCTATGACAATTGTCATTTCAATGAATGATACAGAATAGATATGTTGTATCCAAGTGAGAGAAAAAATAACTCTCAGAACGAGACGAGGTTAATTTTTAGCAAAAATGTGATCTCGCTCAATGAGAAACCCTTATGTTGAAAACAATTTATTGCTTTTCCTGATGGACTGAAATAAAATTAGACTTTATTTAGGGAATCTCAGGGACTGATTCATGTGAGATAATCTTAGTAACGATTCAATTCACTTGAAATTTAATTAGTTGGTAGCTTATTGTTTATATCAGTGCTGTCCAAACTAATGACCACTTGGCCACTTGTGGCCTAGCGACAAATTTCAGTGCCAACGAGACGACTTTTATATCTTTCAAATAAAGATTCTAATTTTATCCAAAAAACGATTTAAAATGTTAACCGAAGCGATTTCATCTGGACAATAATAAGACAACCAGTAGTTAGCTGTATTGTCCGTTGTATTCGCGATATTCAAATATTATAACAAGAACAATCGCACCGAAAATGCAAGAACTGTCACTCGGCTTCATGCCGTTCGACGAAAAAGTCATTGCGAAATTTTTAGTTCATTGTGAAATGAGTTGAATGAGTGTTCAGTTCACAGTGAAATATGGATCGTTTTGTAAATAGGAAGAGAAAACCAGATGAAAGTGGCGGAGGTGAAACAAGTGTTCTATTTCTATTTGATCAGCATACAGAATCAAAAATAAATGCAGAAACGGAATTTCGACTTTTTTCACCGTTGTTCTTAGGTTTTGGAAAAAGTGGCCATTGAATTGAATCGATTTGTCGGTCACTTCTGTGGCCACGCCAAAAAAAGTTTGGACAGAAACTGGTTCTAAATATTCTTATCTATGGTTCAATTTGCTTATTTTTTTCCGTTAGGATGGGCTGCCTGAACCCATCTTATCTGAAAACGCTTAGTTTAGTTTAAGTAATTTTATGAGAATTGCAATGTTCGCGTGTTAACAAAACATCTTTGTTGTTTGTTCTTGTTTGCCTATGTTCAGATTAAAACTATCTAAATATATATGTATTTTATTATCACCCTTAATGAAATATAAAGGCATGTAATTAAGGTGAGACGAAGTTTGCTAGGTCTGCTAGTATGATATATAATTAAATTGTGCTAGTTGATGGAATTTCAGAACAACCTGCTCATATGCAAAATCCACTTACGCTTACCGCACATGAACCGCTGCAATAACAACTTTATACAGAATACAAATGGATTGCATATTGTGTTTTTCTTTTTCAAATTTACTTTTATTTTATTACTTTTTGGTTGGCACATATGTATGTCTGTGTGTTTATAGTAAGGATATATGCTTGTATGTAATTAGGCGAAGCTGTTTAATTGTTGCGCCAGTTGATGTATAGTAGTAAACATAGTTAGTATGTATGGTATGTACGTATGCTTGTATAAATTCAAATGTGCTAAAATACTAAGTAATGGTTTCCAATCCATTGACTTTATTGTGCTGACTAAGAGCGTTATGTATTTACGGATAAGTTTTACAGAATGATGTTTATAACTTGTTTATAACTTAACGATTATTTCAATGTTNTGCGCCAGTTGATGTATAGTAGTAAACATAGTTAGTATGTATGGTATGTACGTATGCTTGTATAAATTCAAATGTGCTAAAATACTAAGTAATGGTTTCCAATGCATTGACTTTATTGTGCTGCCTAAGAGCGTTATGTATTTACGGATAAGTTTTACAGAATGATGTTTATATTAATAACTTAACGATTATTTCAATGTTGTCTGAATTTTTTTGTTTTCTTCAAATAATTATCTTCTTTTTAGATAGTTGTATAAGGTAAAAATATAAATTTGCTTAATTTATTATGTTGCTGACCTCAATATATTGTTGCGAAAATGCGAGGCGAATGTCAGATGAAAGAGAGAAGCCGATAACTAGTACATTCTAGAAACGATAGAACAAGAACCTTCGATAGCGAACAAATCGATGCTTCTACGCTTTCGTCTGCGAGCAGCCGACTGCTATATAAAGGGACACTCAGCTGCCAAGAAGTTAGGTATTAATCTATCTCTTATTGTAAATACTAGCCAAGCAGTTACTGTAAATTTTATGTTATAAATTAAATTATAATAATGCCAGATTATATATATAATTGGCGCTTTGTGAACGCTGAAACGATTTTCTGACGATCTCCTCCTCCAATTTGTGGTTTTGCATCTTGATGTTTTTCCAACAAATGGAGGGACCTACAGCTTATACTAAGCCGCCTTCGAACGACTGATGGTTTTTTATGAGGAGCTTTGTTTCATGCCATAAATACACTAGGAGGGGTTGAGATTCCTGACGACGGGCGACTGCAGTCAGAGAATTTAACTTAATTTTTTATTTAATTTAATTTTCTATATCTTTTAGATGTTGGTCGCACGGGGATTTGAGCTCGAGACTATATAATATAAATTTTTAGCTGTTGTTATGTATTCTTTCAAATTTTCGAAATTTTATATGCAGTATTATACTCTTGAGGTGATTTATAATGCAATTGATGGGTAGTAGAGAATGTATTCAGCCGGAAAGTATAGCGTTACAAAAATTTGGTGGCTTGAAAATGTAGATCCTTCTCTTGTAGAAAAAACATAAATACGCAGACCTTAAAAGTGAAAATATTTTAAAATGCAAATTGCATTATACATTATCACACACGATACTTCTCCGAAACGGCTTGACCGATTTTTAAGAAATTTATGGTGCATATTCCATCCAACCTATTTTTTACACTGGGAAGAGGACTTCGAAAAATTTGAGTTTATACTTCGATTTACTTAGGTAGCCGATCTATTTGAAAAAATCGTGTGTAGATATTTCATTGGCTTCGTCCATTCCCTAAATCGATAGATGGCATCATTCGTTGACTTTAGAAGAAGGCCCGTCCGTGCGTATACGGGACTCGTTTCCCTGCATTTACGTGCATGCAAGCGTGAGCTATGACAATTGTCATTTCAATGAATTATCCGGACAGATGTACTGCGTGAATGAGTGTAATTCTCATTCGTAACTGAGAGAGCGAAACACGTAATTGGGCTGTCGTGGAAATGCCGTATAACTCTCCCTTAGACTAACTAATCTCAACTTCGCGACATCTACATGCAGTTTCTTTGAAATACTTACGATTCGCATTTAAAATATTTCATATCTAAAGCCCACCGTCAACAAACTGATTGGTCCATATCAGTGCGTCTTTAGACCAATGGAAAGGCTCTTCTGAGATGAATTTCTTCCAGTAATTGGCGCTGTCTTGAGTGACTCCGCTTGTTAAACCTGAAAACTATTGCGACTATCCGAGACGCTCGGGAAGGTTCCGAGAATCGCTTCAGAATGTCTTTTTGTTTGTTTACTTTTGTCGTATGGACTCTGGTACCTTAATGCTCCAGTTCGGTGTTCAAATGCACCTCCTTTTCGTGATGCTACCATTCGTTTTGTGGTTTTGCTAACCAGATTGGTCTATGCTACCATAGACTTTTTCAGAATAACTCTTGAGGTGACACTCCTCGGCTAGGACCTAGAACCCTTTTGAAATTCGACGTCCATTTCTTAAGCGGAGATCCAGCGCTTTTTAATGATTCCATAAGCTAATTACGGAATTGAATGGAACTTTTACTATCATAAGCCCCAACAATGACATCATCTAAATAATATTGTTCTTCAAAAACCATACGGCTAAAGGCCAATGGTCGCTGGTGTCGTCTGACAACATTACCGTAAGGAGTTCATAGTCCTCTAACTCCTCGTTCTGGGATCATCGTGTGTTGTCTTCGTACCATATGACCCAACCGAATATGTTCCTTTAACATTCTGTCAAGTTGTCATCCATTTGAAATTCTTTTCAGAATGAAAGGGACACCACATAACGTCCTTGTTCATCTCTCACGGTAGTCCACCTGAACGCACGTTCGCTATGATTGTAGAGCTAATTCCACTTACCTGGGTGTCTATGCTAATCACTGCGGTACCCAACATGAGCTGAAACTTTCTTGTTGTTGTTGATCTAATTCTCGCACCTCAGAATATTGATACCATGTTCCCATAAAACTAGAGTAGGATCTGCTAATCTGCTTGATACCAAGAAAATGAATGTTGCATCCCAGTTCTCGATATCAATTCCGTACATTTGCAAAACGGTGATAAAGTTGTTCACTGCGCGTTGTAAATTTTTTTTTTCCGTACCACGCTCATTCATTACGGGCGGTAAATTGAAGAGCGTTTTTAATTGTTTGTTGACCTTTCAATCATAACGATCGGACAGGACTTGTCACGCGGCAGCAAATCCTTCATTGGTCAGTGGGGATTTTTTAACAATAACTCTTGCCTCCCTACCGGTTTTTTGTATTAGTAGTACAATTTTTCCATCTTGTTGCCTGGAAGAACTGCAGTTTTTTTGCCATATGATGCGGAGATGGGCGATTTGGACAGTGCCGGTAGTCTCTCGACGGGCTCCATGCTTNTCGATTAAGTTATCTTCTTAGTACTTCTTTATGTGCAAACTTTATATTTATTTTAATTTGTATATTTTTTTTAATTTATTCTTACTTTTTTCTCTTAATTCTTAACGGCAATTAACATTAAGTTTCTGTTACATTAAGTTTCTGTTATCTATGTAAATCTTTTCTAGTGAATATCAGCCGCTTAATATAGAATAATATAATAATTACCTTCCTTACAATTTAGATTTAAAATTAGTTTTTTTTTTCAAAATAGGAACTATGTGTATATGTCTTTTAGTATAAGTTTTTGTTTTGCTTAAACATTTTGCGAGTATTCATTGTGGTAATTATTTTGACCTTTAATATGATGTCTACTTCTCACTCGACTTGGCTGTTCCCCTCTTTATATCTTTTTGTAATACGAACAGTCGCTTTGGAAACATCACTCTTCCTTCAAAGTTTATTAATTCCATATTTCATTTTGTCACGGTTTTAACTGCAAGCAGAAAAAAAGATATATGATTGCAAATTTATTAATTTTATTAATTGTTACGCGATACGGTATGTGGAATTAAAGGTAAAGTAAAAGATGGCTGATATGAAAAATATCTGAAAGCTTCCAGAAAGTGGTAGGAATAAAATTGACGAGCCAAATACACCCAAAGCTATTAAACCATGCCCTCTCAATAACGCTGTCGCGTACTGGCCGCAACAAAAACTTCTTTGTGTTTGTTTGTTCATTTCCTTTGTTTTGCCTAAGCTTCCTTTCACTCCAAGCGTTGGCAGTGACATCTGTCGGCCACGGATTGATGGCACGGTTGCACTCGGTGTGTGCCTACCCAGTGGTATAAGTCTCCAAAAGGAGGTGTTCCCTAAAACGATTCCGCCACTATTAGGGCAACGGAATGCTTTGCGCGGAAATTCCGTAAAGAGGGGTGTCACCTGTTTCTTTAATGCGGCGAGGAGAAAAACTATCCCAGTGTACTTGGTGTGCCATGGTGGCGTGCGCTATCCCTTTGGGTAATGGAAGCGGCGCCAAATGAGTGGGCACCAATACACACTCGCTGGAGAATTTTGAAGGCCGACGAGTAGCTTGCAGCCTGGCTCGTAAGGGCGTGCCGGATCAGATTCCAGCAATCTACGAAATTGCGAACATCTTTTTTTACACAGGCGTGCGATTTGCTTTGAAAAAAATATTTGTGAGATTTTTTATAAACATAAAAGAGTGGTATGCTAGTCGAGGCAAATAGTGAAAGTGTTAAGCCAGTCGGGGCTTGCTTAAGGGCAGTCGAAGCCCATAGGTTTCTTTTGTGGATTCCAGTGGCGGAATCGGAGTTTGGCTGCATCATCCGGAGGAGCACCGAAGTCGGGACGCACCAAATTCGTTACGTCCCTACCCATCCCTATAGCATCCCGCACCCAGAGCCCAGTCATACAGGCGGGTTAAAGTTACCCTCGTAGCTTGACTTTGCTGTTAAAGGGAATGTCGCGTTTCGCATTTTTAGAACAGGTTGAGGAGTTGAGCGAGGCATGCGTTGTCACTTTAGGCCAACTCTTCCGAGGCGCGGCAGACCCGTTTGTAGGAAAGGCGTTATTATGGTTTAGGTCAGTCAGGAAGTCATTAGGCAGTTGGGAGGAGTTAGTAAGAGAGTTGAAGTTGGAGTTTTTGCACCCCAACTACGACGACCTCCTACTAGATGAGATTAGGCGAAGGACTCAGGGAGCGAAGGAGACCATAGGTGTATATGTCGCGACGTTGAGGATCATGTTTGGTAGGCTTCAGGAGCCTTTATCTAAAAAAAGAATGTTAGGATTGATTCGAGTATAAAGTGCTTCGGGTGCGGAAGACTTGGAGTTATGTAGCGGGACTGCCCGGTGTGTAGGTGTCGATTTTGAAGAGGTTAGGTTAGCGTTTTCGTTGGTGACGGACGGTCACGACGAACGCCCTTATTTGGATATTAAAATTCATAGGCCGGACCCATTGAGCATAAGATCAGGGTAAAAGCAGGAGTTGAACCTGTGAAACAGCGTTATTACCCTGTGTCTTCCATCATACAGTCGCGTATGGACGAGGAAATTAACGATATGCTCGATAAAAGGGTGATAGAGAAATCACATAGTCCTTGGGCGTCTCCAGTCGTTATGATCAGGAAGAAAGACGGTACATATAGGTTTTGCGTAGAATATAGGGCTAAGGGATGGCAAGTTTCTGCTCAGTCTGGATATTAAGTCCGCTTATTGGCAAATTCCGGTGAAGGAGCAGTCAAGGCCCTTTACAGCGTTTACGGTACCCGGAAGAGGACTATTTTAGTTTAAGAGGATGCCATACGGTTTACATAATGCACCGGAAACTTGGCAGAGATTTATAGATTCGGTCATAGGACCAGAGTTAGAACCTCATGTTTGTGTGTATTTGGACGATATTATTATCGTCACAAATAATTTTGAGAAACATTTAGAGATTTTGAAAGACTTTTTAGATGATTTGCAAGAGCAGGGCTTAGATTAACTAGGGAAAAATGTATTTTTTGTAAATCTGAGCTGAAGTATTTGGGCTACGTGGTGGACAAGAACCCCGAGAAGGAAGAGGCGATGCTTCGGATTGAGGTACCGAAAAAAGTAAAGCAAGTGCGGTCATTTATTAGAACAGTGTCCTGGTACCGCAGATTTTTGATGACGGTGAGAGGATCAAATGTTTGATGACGGTGAGAGGGTCATAGCATATTTGAGTAGGTCCTTAAACAAAGGAGAGCGAAACTATTCGACGACCGAAAAGGAGTGTCTAGCGGTTCTGTGGGCGGTTGGGAAACTGTGGCCGTATGTTGAGGGCGCTAAGTTTACGGTCGTCACCGATCAATATTCACTTATTTGGTTGAATAAGTTGAAGGATCCGAGTGGTAGGCTAGCGAGAAGGGCTTTGAAGCTCCAGCAATACGATTTTGATATAGTGCCTCGGAAAGGCAAGGAACATGGGGTTCCGGATATGCTATCCCGAAGTGTGCCAGTTATTGCTGGATGCCTACTACCAACCCTTGGTTGGCAAGGATGATCCGGCTGGTAGAGAAAAAGCCTCTGTCGTATCTAGCGTGGAGAGTTGAAGGTGGCAACCTCTACAACCTTGTCAGGTCGAGACTTGCTTCTGTGTACGGTGATTCACCAGAGTGGAAAAAAGTAATAGGGCGTGATGGTAGAGGTGAGATTTTAAAACAATGTCACGACAATCCGTTAACAGGCCATATAGGTGTGAAGAAGACTTTTGCGTGGGTTTCACAAAAGTTCTACTGGCCAAGGCTGAAGTCGGACATTGCAAAGTACGTTAGGGTGTGAAAAACTTGTCAACAGGTGAAACCTGAAAATTCACCGGCAGCTGGGTGTATGATAGAGAAGACCAAGGCAGTCGAGCCTTGGGAGATGATATGTGTAGACCTTGTCGGGCCTTTAGTGAAGTCGACACAATGCCACCAGTATTTTCTAACAGTAGCGGACTAACCATGCCACTCTTGCTCTGACTGGTGCCATTTTCGGACGTGCTATGGCCTGCGCACCACCAGTGATAGCAGCGATGCGTATGTTGCCCCGTGCTGTAGAAAACTGCCCCAGCCTATCTCGATAAACTTACCGCCAACCAACGCCAATGTGCGGAATCAATCTCAGCGGTCAATACAACAGCAACACTCTCCATCACCCGAACCCCGAACGTTCCCCGAGACAGAACTGACTCTTACAATTCACCTGCAACGGACTCCAGGGGAAGATCGACGAGAGAACCGACTATATAAACCGGGAGCATCTGCCAATTGCTGCGGTCCAGGAAACTAAGTTGACCGTCCGATCAGAATTTCTGAGCCGGGCCGGATACAACATAAACCGCAAGGAACGCGAGCGAGACTATGATGGGGGCCTAGCGTTCATCCTGCACAACACTGTGCATTATCGTCTTATCGACGGCGACATCGACCGCAGGGATACTGCCCGAGAATGTCAGGACATAGGTATCCGGTCAGGCGATGCCGAGCTCTAGATATTTAATATATACATTCCTCCTATTACAAGTTGCCCAGTGCGATATAGCTCTGATACAGGTCCGCTACTCAGATGCGAAAACCACTTGGTTTTGGTCGATCTTTGGCATTCTAGCCTGTCAAATGACCGTAGAGGCATGTAGCAGGTAGAACAGATAGACGATTTGACATCCTACACAATCAACGACAATTCCCTCACCAGAATTATGGATAATTGCCAAAGCTCGCCGAATATAACAATTTCGAGTGCTGGTCTGATAAACAGTATAGTCTGGCGGCCTGTACTGACACTAGCATCGGACCACTTGCCCATACAAATCTCGACTGACAGACCTCCCGACCTTGTTTTCGCGGACCACCGGACATTTGTTAACTTCAAAAAAGCTAACTGGCCCGGCTTCACGAGAACCGACAACGCCTTTAATGCATTCCCCGTCTCCATCAGACGTCACCACTGGTGAGCGTATATTCCACAGGGTCGTCGTGACCACTGCCGCCCGCTTTATCCCGGCAGGCCGAACTGCGGAAATCCACCCAATTTTTCCGACAGAAGTGATGGTACTAGCATCCAAGCGCGACACCCTTCGTGTAACCTGCCGTATGCGCATACTGCCAAACACCAGCGCGGCGCTTGATTTCTTCAGGGAGGAGGTTCAGGGGGTCATAGGAAAGGCGAAAGCTTCCAAATTCATCATCCCCGGCGTATGGAAAATGGACAGGGTGGTCCCGCTACTCAAACCGGGGAACCCAGCCAACAAAGGTGAGTCTTATCGACCAATAACTCTCCTCTTCTCAGTAGCCAAGACACTTGGTGCCTTACTGCTCCCGACCTTCACTCACCAACTGCGTTCAGCAGCACATCAGCTTGGCTTCCGAAAAGGGCACAACAACACAACAGCACCATACGCCATAAACACCCAGATAGTCAATGGATTTAACCAATACCGACCCTGCGCGCGAACTGTCCTGGTAGCACTGGATTTGTCAAAAGCTTTTGACACAGTCAATCATTCAGTGCTACTAACGGACATAGAGGAATCCGCATTATCGCCGGGGTGGCAGAGGTGGGTCATGGGCAACTTCAGCGATCGACAATCATAGGTAATATTCCGAGGTGAAATATCGAAACCAAGAAAAATTAAACAAGGTGTTCCGCAGGGTGGTCTCCTATCCTTGCTACTGTTTAATTTTTATATTTTGAAACTACCATCTCCACCAAAAGGAGTTTCCCTAACCTCGTATACCAATGATTGTACGATAATGGCGTCTGGCCAGGATATTGATGACCTCTGTTCGAAAGTGAGCTACCTTGCCGATCTTTCTCACTTCTTCACTGCGCGACAATTAAAAATACAAGCGACTAAATTTTCGGCTACCCTCTGTAAATAGCCCATGGATATTGAGAGTGACATTAGACAGCCTGCACTCCTTCACTACGCATACGACCGCAATTGCCGCAAAACTTCAGAGCCGCAACAAATACTCAAAGCGCTATCCGGCAGCACCTGGAGTAAAGATAAAGAAACTTTACTGGCAACTTATGAAGCAATTGGTCGATCGGTCGTTAACTAAGCTGGGCGCCGGAGGCGCAGATGAAGATGCTACTACCTTGCCAATACACCGCCCTCGGGACTGCGGCAGGAACCTTCTGATGTCGCCCGAGCATCGCTTGCACAGCGAAGCATCTATGCTACGAGTTGAAGATATTAATGCTTTGCCCCGCCGAAACAGCTTGTTTCCTGGACCTCCTATTAGATGACCTCGGCGACTTAGATTAATCAAACTTGTGCCTAAACGGGGCTAGAAAGCCGCTACAACAACAACAACCAACCAAATAGTTACTAAACCAGAATATTTGATTTTAAATATCTATTTATTAGGTTATATATTTGGAGCTTTTAGGCCGTTAAATTCAAGATGACGAAATTTTAATATAATTTCACTAATATCCCTGTATACAAACTTTGGAAAATCACAATTACGAAAAAACTATTTTTCTCTATTCTTGAGTTTTGTTTGAGAAATAAATATTTTTTCGTTTAAGATGAAAAATACTGTCAGCAGATATATAGAATGCCAATGGGGAAGCCCCTATTCCCAACTGCAGCAGATATTGTTTTAGATAAAATACTTGACGATAGCATTGCTGAGCTTGTACGAAAGGGCATACACATAAAATATATAAACAAATATGTAGATGATATATTATATATGCAATAATTAAAAAAACAGACGGGAAGGTTATACTAGATACTTCAGCACAGCATAAAAAAATTAAATTTACAACTGAAAAAAAAAAATAGGAAGCTAGCCTTCCTAGATGTTGAAATTATTCGGTAAAACAAGAAAATTAAGCTTAGTTGGTATTCGAACGTAATCGATAAAACACATACACTCAGCGACCAAGAATTCAGTAATGGGAACATGAAAAATATTTGAAACATACTATACAAAAACAGATACCCTAACGCATTAATAAAAAGATTTACAGCAGTAAGAAAATAACAAAATAGAAGGCGCGAACAACCATGTAACAACTAAAAATGTTAACAAAACAACTCACTGGCATAACATATTGGGTTGCCCAAAAAGTAATTGCGGATTTTTTAAAAAAAAAGTAAATGCATTTTTAATAAAACTTAGAATGAACTTTAATCGAATATATAATTGTCATTTTGTTCGATAACCTTTTGCCATCTTCCTGGCAAATTTAGTATTCCACGTTCATAGAACTTCTCGCCTTTATCTGCAAAAACCTGAACCAAGTGCGATTTTATAGCCTCATCATTGCCGAAAGTTTTACCATTTAAGGAGTTCTGCAAAGATCGAAATAAATGGTAGTCTTATGGTGCAAGGTCAGGGCTATATGGTGGATGCATCAAAAGTTCCCAGCCAAGCTTACTCAGTTTTTATCGAGTGACCAAAGATTTGTGCGGTCTAGCGTTGTCCTGGTGGAATATGACACCTTTACGATTGACCAATTCTGGTCGCTTCTCCTTGATGGCTGTATTCAATTTGTCCAATTGTTGACAGTAAACATCCGAATTAATCGTTTGGTTCCTTGGAAGCAGCTCAAAATATACGACACCCTTCCAATCCCACCAAACAGACCGCATAACCTTCTTTTGGTGGATATCAGCCTTTGAAGTGGTTTGAGCTGGTTCACCATGCTTGGACCATGATCGTTTTCGACTAACGTTGTTGTAAACAATCCATTTTTCATCTCCAGTTATGATTCGTTTTAAAAACGGATCGAATTCATTGCGTTTAAGGTGCATATCACAAGCGTTGATTCAGTGTGTTAAATGAATTTCTTTCAATACATGTGGTACTCAAATATTTTTTATGTGATAATGAACGGTTGATTTTGGTATATTTAACTTCTCTCCTATATTACGCTCAGTTACTTGACGATCCAATTCGATTAATGCTTTGATTTGGTCATCATCAACTTCATTTGGCCGACCTGAACGTGGCTCATCTTTAAGTGAAAAATCTCCAGAATGGATTTTGCGAAACCAATTTTGATACTGTCTCACTTTTAAGGCTTCATCACCATACACATCTCGTAACTTTTTAGCAACCTGCTCCGCGGAATGCTCCTTTGTAGGCTCCATATTAAAATTGAAGCCAAACAAACAAATGTAAACAAAATTTCGCGCACTTTTTTTCTAAAGCAAGCTAAAAGTAACAGCTGATAACTTACAGAAGAAAGAATGCAATTACAGAGTCACAAGCCGTTGAAAAAATTTGTCAACGCTGACTATATGAAAAATCCGCAATTACTTAGGCAAATACATTAACAATGCAATAATATCTTTTGCGCACCGACCGTATCGCACACTCAACACAGTCTTTACAAAAACAAAAGACAAAATAAACAAGGAACAACAAACCTATCACCAAATAAAGTGCAATGGAAAAAAAGACGAGCAATGCAGCAAACTTTACATAGGAACAACGACGCAAGCGTTAGTAGTTAGAATAGGGGCAGACTTCACCAATGCGAAAATAATAGACATCGGGAAGAGAACGAAGAAAATAATGGCATTAGAAGGACTTAGACTATTACATTGAAAGTAGATGGTCAAGATATGATGACCACAAACTGTAACGGACTTTTCCACTTGGCTGGGGTAAGCTCAGCCTTGCCAAGGTTATCCTAAATAACAACACGCTATTTTTGCTACAACAAATTTATTACGTTATGAACAATATATATACATATATACAAGATCTCTAATATATCTCTACACATTTACTACTTTTCGTATGGGCTGTGGAGGTGAAAACCTTCTACTAGCTTCTTTTCCAGTGAGGTGAGAACCCTCAGTGTTCGTGAGGTGAAAACCCTCATTGACACTACGTTGCCGGTGGTGTTTATCCCACGGGCAAGTATACCTAACATCAGGACAAAGGCTACTTCCTTTACTTTAGATTTTTCTCCTTTTTACCTAATTCTGCGCGCGGGCAGAATGTTATTTAATAAAAGCAAATTATTACCCTAAACAGTTTTCCTAAAATCTATGTGTGTGTATATATGCACAAGAGACATAAATGGCAGTAACCACAAAATAATCTATCAACAAACGACTTTGTTATTATTTTGCTACCACCTAATAAATGGCGCTCAGTAATAAAGATAATAAAGTTCGTGTTGTGCGAACACCAAACGGTCTTGTAGCTAAGCCAATTGATAAATTGTGCCCTCTTCAAATATAATCAAATACAACTCTGCGGCAGCTATGACTGCAACTTTTTCTATTGTATTTTCGACATATCTTAGTCATAATCCATTCAAAGACTTTCGCTAAAACCAATTTTATTTCCAGACTAAGTACGGTACAATATCCCAGCTCATCACCATATCGTCATTCCATGGATAACAAAAGTCGCCGCCGCGACCCAGCAATGTTTTCGCGTACGATATCACGTGATATTGAGAGACAACTTCGTCGTCGTCCTTGCTAAATCGACCGAAACTGCATAACTTCCCACTAAACAGGCTTGTCGTGTCGTAAACGAGACGGGTTAAAATAATCTCCATCTCTTGCACCAATGCACCGACGCCACCATTATTAAGGTAGTTGTAGTTACTACTTAAAAAATCCTCCCTTGACGATGGCAACCTGTATATATAGGTGCGCCTGGCAACCTCAAGTGTGAATTGTTCGTACTATGGCTTCCGTATTCGTGGAAAGGACGGGTTGCGTTTTTAAGAAATGCATTCAATTCAATGGTGATTATGAACAGAAGGTTAAAAAGAACAAAGATTACGAATAAATACAAAAAGAACTTTTTTTAATTTTTTACCTGGTTAATTTACCGAACTTTTATTATTCCATTCGTATATACAATATACTATATATCTAAAACTTAGTTAGTATGGGAAAAGCCACGCCACCATTAATGGACTCCGAAAAAAGTTACTATCTTCTTGATAACGAAAATTCGGTTGCATTCGGGGACGCCCTTCTAAATTCATAAGGCAACACCAAAAACGTGCACTTTTTTTTATAAATAAGATTTTTTAAATTGATTAATTCACATACTTACATGTTTTATAAATCGGAAGTCCCTTTAATACTTTCATAGTCTGATATAATTTTGCGCCATTTAAGGATAAACCTTGAAAAAAATCGATCATTCTTATATTCTGTTGAATTATTTGCCACCCGAAGCTGTGAATTAAAAAAAGATAATAAACAAATTTACTAGCATCATTTATATGGGCAAAACTCACACGTATCACATCGTAAAGAGGTATACACAAAGGGACCAAAACAGTTTAGTTAGCATAAAAATTTGCGTTTTTAAAACTTAACTTTCTGACAAATAATAACTAAAAGTATTTTGGAAGCTTTCTTTTTAACTGTTTTAGAGGTCGCTAAGGTATATATGTTGTATTAATTTTTTATTTAAATTAATTTTCTATAACTTTTGGATGTTGTTTGCACGGGGATTTGAACCCGAGCCTTCCGAATTGCAGTACGAAATCTAATCACTCGGCTACCGCGGCTGGGCTTCGACTGCCCTTAACCAAGCCCCGACTGGCTCAAACCTTTCACTATTTTTTTTTTTCAAAGCTTCAACTGCCCTTACACTACCACTTGCCTCGCCTGGCAAAACGCTATTATATAATATTTATAAAAAAAATATCACAATTTTTTTTTTGTTTTTTTTTTCTTTTTGAAAGCAAATCGCACGCCTGCGTAAAAAGCTCGCACTCTTCTGTAGATTGCAAGAATCTGATCCGGCACGCACTTACAAGCCAGGCCGCAAGCTACGCGTCGGCCTTCAAAATTCTCTTGTGAGTGTGTATTGGTGCCCAATCATTTGGCGCCGCCCCCATTACCCAAATGGACCGGGTTGTATAGCGCACGCCACTATGGCACACCAAGTACACTGGGATAATTTTTCCCTTCGCCGCATTAAAGAAAAAGGCGACACCCCTTTTTACGGAATTCCCGCGCAAAGCATTCCGTTGCCCTAATATTTGTTAGTGGAGGAACCGTTTTGGAGAACACCTCCTTTTGGAGACTTATACCACTGGGTAGGCCAGTACGCGACAGTGTTTCACAACGACTGGAGAATGTCTTAGTTTTAGGGATCGTCTCTGCCAGGTTTTCATCATTTTATAGTGACCTTTAATAATTCAATACGGTGTTGACACGTGTATCGCTACTTTTTATTACTGGCGTAGTTTTTACTTGTGAAATGTCAAAATTTCCAGCTTCAAAACTATCCATCGGAGTAGCAGACTATTAAAAAAAAAACAATTCAAATTCCAAAACCCTTTGCTATTTATAATTAAATATACATTGTATTTTAACATCCATTGATAGGGTCAATCATTAGCTCAGTTTAAGAAATGCGTTTAAATATAAATGTATGTCTAAATGTTTATATATTTTGTTACAAAACATATCCATCGAGTTCATACTTTCTGGCTTGAATTAAATCAAACTTACAAACATGCAAGCATAATTGTCATTTCTTATTTCGTATATACTCAATTCTGCAAGTTCATGTATCTGCGAATGTATAAATTTTACGTTTATACTGTATGCTGTAAATATTTACATACATATGTATAGCATTTGTGCTTTGTAACCGCTGAAGCGATTTTCGGCCGATCACACTCTACAACTAGTGGTATGTGTCTGGATTGTTTTCCAACAAATGGGGAGACATACAGTTAATAGTAAGCCACTCCGATGGTTTTTTATTTCATGTCAAAAATACACACATTCATATTGACATTCCTTGCCGAGGGGCGACAGCTTTTCATATAAATTACTTTTTGAAGTGCCGTCAGGCATCTTAATTTTTCTTGCTCTCAAGGGATTTCCCTGTCGATAAGCTTCAATTTCGCCGTGTACTACTCCGAAATTAGTTTCTGCAACTCATTTTCTTATAGTTAAAGAATGAAAAATTGCATGACTAACAATTTCACTTTTTGTTTTTTTATCTTTCTTGTATTTCACCAGCATATTTTAAGCATTAGCTTTTTTTTCTATCATTTTATGTACATGCATAAGGTACACATGTACATGGTTTTATGCACAAGTGCAATTCGCAGGTGCTTGGTAAATATTGGAAAGCTTGCATTATTGCATGCTTAGATGTTAGCCAGCACCGGTTGAATAACACCAGTGGTATAAGCTTGACTTACAAAACCTCTTAATCTTTGCTATTCGCTTGTTTCTAATTTTTTTAAACTATATTAACTCAGTGGTTCTGTAACTTTTTCGTAACTTTTCTTTTATACATTTATTTTTATTACTTTTATTTTATACAAGATGTCCTGTTTGCTTGAAAAGTGATGCCGATATTGGAATGTTAAATTTCTCCTTTGAAATATCTATAAACTATATATATCTAAACGAGTATAAACGAGCTTTGTGATGGCTGCAGCGATTTTCGGACGAGCTCCTCCTCCAATTTTTGGTTTTGCGTCTTGATGTTTTACCAACAAATGAAGGGACATAAAGTTGATACTGTTTCGACGTTCTTTGACGTTCTCTTAAACTCATCATTTGGGCCGAATGTTGCTTTTGTTCGAAAGTTTGAATTAAAGTGAGGACATTCTAGAAACAATATTGCGCAACTCCCTGTTGCCTCCCCTGAGCCAAAAGACTGCTAACGGTTGTTAACTTGAACATCTACTATGAAAATGTAAATGGTTTGAACACCAAGATGAAACATTTATTTTAACATAGCTTTCGCTTTCGCTTAAATAAAATTGGTGGTTTAGTACTTATTGGTGTTTAAACTAACCTTACTATTGAAGAAATTCATTTTGCGAAATTGGATGGGATGGAATTAATTTGTGTTTAAATACGTTAAATTAGTAAAAACTTTTACGTTGTCGCCAGTTATATCCCGTCAAATTCTGACATTTTCACTTGCTTTCTCCAGTGTGTCATGGTATATATATTAATGACAGTTTACTAGTACCTAGCCCAATTTGAGATAATGCTAATGGTTTCCTAATGAGCTTTCGGATCTGAGTAATTTTCAAATAAATATGGTCCATAATCCGAATGATGATTAATTCTCACAAATTATCTTTGCAACTCCCAGCCCAATGTGAAAGAAAGCGTTGTCTACTTCACAACTGTTTTACATTCTGCTTTCAGAAAATTGGATCCTATAACAAATGAGCCGACCCGTGATCAAACTGTTTTAACCAACGTGTTTTGTGGCTTAATGAAAAATTGAAGAGCTTAAAAAATAAGAAGATTAGATTATTCTAGCTCTATAAAAATCCGGCAAAATTTCTGATTATGGTGCTTATTCCGTAGTTAGACAAAAGTATAATATTTTGAACACGTTGAATAAGTCGTGTTATGAGAAGTATATTACAAGAATTCAAAATAACATAGTTTTGTTTATTTGAAACGTAAGACTTTTGAGTTTCTATCCTCTGTAAAAATGATGATGATGATGATGCTCTAATCTAATTACACTCCAAGAGCTCATTCACATGTGGACCGAATAATATCCCCACTAGTGCACTTAAATTTTGGGTTGAGTTTCTATATATAATATTACCATTAAATAAGGTATCGATTTTTGTATTAAAGCAAAATTTATTCGCTTCTTGTAGTAGATCAATCAATTGGGAATTTCAGATGGATAATAAAGGTATGGGGCTTGTAAAAGCAAATCTATCAGGTTCGATAGATAGAATTCACCACCCATGTCAGTAATGGTTTCATAAATGGTTATCGAACAGATGCTATCTAGATCCACTGCAACAAAGCACTTGACAAGGTCTCTCATTCTTTACTTTACTTTAAACTCGATCTGCCTTTCTCAAATGGATTTCGTCTTACTTGATTGATAGAAAACAAAACGTAACGTTGAAGCAACTTGACCTAAATAATTTAGTTAGGTGGTGCGATTGGAACTGAATGTCCTTTAATTTAAATAAGTGCAAATATATGTGTTTCCCCAGAAAATAACTTTTATCTCTTGTCTATATTATACATAATCAAAGTGTTGAACAAGTTTCTGACTTCATTGATTTAGGTTTCACAATGGCCCCTAAGCTAGATTTAAGAAATCATATAATTATTATTACTATTATAAAGAAGTTCAATGACCCACACATTACCACATTACTCCTTACCTCGCTTGTTAAGCCCATTTGGAGTTTGGAGTTGTATGGAGTCCGCATCATCAATTGTATAGTGATATATTAGAATATGTACAAAAGTAATTCCTGCTATTCGCGTTAAAAAATTTAAACTTGGATACGAATAAGAGCCTGCCTTCTTACAAAGGCGCTTACACACAGTCGTAAAAGTGAGGAAAGTTTTCAACTGCCATTCACCTGGGAGTGACCAGATGCATATGGTTCAAGCAGCTCACGTTTTCCGTTCTTAGACCAAGTATCCCATAGGTAGCCAACAAACATCCGTTTGGAGGCGAGCTAAAGTAAGAAGGCGAATCCCATGCGGTTGTGCGTGGAGTTTACGACGCACTGGATGAAAAAAAAACTCCAATGAAAAATTGTATTATGCCTCGGATGAGAGACCCCATTCTAAATGACGACTTCCGCAAATGTTCGGTCCTTTGTTTGGAAAGGTGCAAATTTGGAGTGCAAATTTGGTGTCGGATTTGTGGTGAGAGAAGACTCCGCCGCCGGAAGTGGCATTGACTCCGCTAGATGAAAGTCTCGCCACAATCCGAATAAAAACAAAATTTTTAAAATAATTAACACCACGCTGACTTGCGCCCATGTCCCGACGGAAGAGAAGGACGATGTGAAAAACAATGCCTTTTATGAACGCCTCGGACACACTTATGAGCGCTGCCCCCGCCACGACGTCAAAATTGTGCTTGGCGACTTCAACGTCAGGGTGGCCAAAGATGGTATTTTTGGAAAAACAGTCGGAAAATTCAGCCTCCGAGACGAAACATCCTTTAAAGCGCTGAGACGCTTCATGTATCCAGTAGACGTACGTACGTTCCGAAGTCCTAATATCGACTCGGATCACTATCTTGTCGCAACGAGGATACGCATACGTATCTGTGTATAAAAGAACACCCGTCAACAAACACAACGAAAGCTCGACGTTGAAAAGCTGCAATCAAAGCATACTGCCTAGAGGTTTTCTACTCCTCGTACACTTCTGCTCTCTGAAAGCACTCATAAGCAACTCGGTATAGG